AGGGTTTCTCTGTGTAGCTTTGCGCCTTTCCTGGATCTCACTCTGTAGACCAGGCTGGCCTCGAACTCACAAAGATCCGCCTGGCTCTGCCTCCCAAGTGCTGGGATTAAAGGCATGCACCACCACCACCCAGCCTAAACAATTTTTTTAAGGTTTATTTATTTACTATATATACAGTGTTCTGCCTGCATGCCAGATCTCATTACAAATGGTTGTGAGCCACCATGTGGTTGCTGGGAATTGAACTCAGGAGCTCTGGAAGAGCAGCCAGTGCTCTAACCATTGAGCCATCTCTCCAGCCCCCATGGCAACTCTTATAAAGGAAAATGTTTTTAATTTGTATGGTTTACAGTTCAGAGGTTTAGTCCGTTATCATTCATGGCAGGACATGGCAGCATGTTGGCAGACATGGTGCTGGAGAAGGAGCTGAGAGTTCTACATCTAGATCTGCAGGCAGCAGAAGCAACCCTGTCACTGAGTGTAGCTTGAACACAGGAGACCTCAAAGCCTGTCCCCAAGGTGACACACTTCCTCCAACAAGGTCACACCTCCTAATAATGCCACTCCCTTTGAGATTATGGGAGCCAATTACATTCAAGCTATCACAAACTAAAAATCATCAAGAAAACATATAACCCAACTTAAAAATGGAAGTCTGTGACTGTGGGGCGTTTACCCACCACCCCCACAGCTTCCCAGAGTTTTCTTGAGTGCGATCAGCAGGAAATATTAGATAGAAGGATTTATAGCGGAGAATCTTGTGGAGATAAACAGATAGAAAATAAAGGATAGCCTCAAGAGGGCCTGGAACCTATTCCAACGGGCCCCGACTGTCTCTGGCCCAGGGTTTTTATAGAGATGCCAAGGGGTGGAGCAAAAGACCTCCTCCCCCAGTACAGCCAAGTGCAGACCATCTCAGACACCTGCACTCAGGCCCGTGGTCCTGATCATCCTCTATTCGGATCTGCTGGGTAAAGCCACGAGGAACCCAAGAACGGGCTCCCACATGTGACCATTATTATTTATTCAAATATGCTTTGTTGCTTTTCAGCTTCTTTCTTTTGAATCTCCTATTATGTGCAGATGGTATATTTTATGGAGCCCCACAATCTCTTAAAGCTTTCTTCACTATTCTGTCATTCCTTTGAATGGACAGATCTTCAGTTTCATCTGTCTTTCTTCTTCCTGCCCAATGTGCTGTTGGTCTTCTCTGATGGAATTTCATCTAATTTGTACTGTTAAACTGCACAATTTCTCCTTCACTCTGTCATTTATATATCTTTATTGATATTCTTTATTTCATGTTGATACTACTGTTTCCTGCATTTTCTTCCAGCATGGTTTCCCTTGGCCGTTTGAAAACATTTAAAAGAAATAATTTAGGTGCATGTGTGTGTTAAATTCAATGTACAGAGTTTATGAATATTCTATTCACGCTTACTTCTCTCAGTATGAACCAGTCTTTTTGTTTCTTTGAATTTGATAACACAGATATGCATGTGCATGTATAATATGTATTACATATAACACATACACACACATATTTCAAAGCCTTTGACTTGGTTACTGAGAATAAATTGACTATTTTCTAACCTTCTTCTTCATCTTTTTTGGTTGTTGTTCTTTTTTTACCCTTGTGGAAGAGATTTAGTGTTTTCCAGCCAAACCTTTATTTGAGTGCCATTTGAATGAGTCACAGCTGAGTTCATTAAGTTTCAGTGCCTCGGGGACACTGCTGAGAACCGGAAGTCAGTGTTTGTGGGACATAAGCTACTGCACCTGGAAAATAAAATAGATCGTTGAGACAGTGGGAATTTATCTCTGTGTGGTGTGTGTCTCTTGAGGATAGCCTCGGCTCGCCTTCAGTGCAGCAAACAATCCGGAAGGAATGTTACATCATCCCATTCCATGAGTTTCTCCCAGGTTCCAGCCATACCATCTCTTGACCAGCATCAGACCCAGAGGGAGTATTCTATATCAGGTTACAATGTCAGTGTCCCAAGAGCTAGGGAGATGGCCCAGGGGGCAAAGTGTTTGCTTTGCAAGCACAAGGACCTGAGTCCAGATCCTCAGTAGCTGCATGAAAGTGGGGCATGGTAGAAACCACCTGGAATCCCAGTGCTGTGAAGTAAGGAACAAATATAGATCCCGGGGCTTGTTAGCCAACAAAGCTGGGCCAGCTTAGATGAAAGAGTGAACTTCAGGTTCAGGGAGAGATCCTGTCTCAAAAACAATGTGGAGAGCAACAGAGGAAGACACTGGGTATCAACCTCTTGTCTGGACCTGCTCATGTACACACACACACACACACACACACACACACACACACACAAACACACACACTCACTCAGGAAATGCTAACCCTTGACTTCAAGAAATAGTTAAAGGATAAGAATGTGGAATACTTTTTTTGACAACAAGACTGTGATCTTGTTGGGAAGTGGTGGATATGAGTGAGGAAAAAAACAGAGTTATAATCCTGTAGCCTGGTTGTCCTATAGCCCAGAACTTTGATCTCTAATAGGGTTTTAGGCTATTGTGGACCAGTGCCTATTGATAGTATACAGCTGCAAGTATATGCTACTTAGATTTTATCAGAAGTCCAACTCAGCAGAATACTTCTCAAGAAAAATGACTTATACTATTCATTTTCTCAAGATTAAAACTGTGTTGCTGGCTTCTGTCAGATCATTGGAAGAATGTACTTTTGCCAATTTATCAAATTGCCTTAATGTAATTATATTTCGCATCTTGTCTTCAGAATTTAAAACATTAAATGTGGGCTCAAGTCCCAGCTTTGTCCTTTGTATGATATGGGGAGACTTCTTAACCACACTTAATTTCCATTGTTTTAAATTTGAAAACATGTGATAATAACTACTTTACAGTTTTATACAGCTTCCATGATCCAGTCCACGGAGAGAAAACAGAAACCTACAGTTCTTAAAAACACCCTGTAGCTTAAAATTTGTAGGTGATAAACAAAGCGCCATATGAAATTCATTTTGCTGTATTTGCAGTAAAATCTGTCATAAAATCTGTTGTCAAGGTCATTGCCAATTTTCAAGGTCTCTTATAAAAAAATTCCATTTCAGTTTTACAACCATGTTCAAAAGGACTCTGCTTCTCCTAGAATGTGGCATTCTCTTCCTTTTCCTCTCCAGTAACAAGAGTGCACTAATTTCTCATGGTTCTCCTTCTGCCCTAGGGGCAGAGAACAAAACGGGGAATATTTGTACTTTATAACAGTCCATTGGCTTGCCTGGCTTGTTTATCTATTTTTCTCCCATTTTTAAACATTTGTTTGACAATCCGTATATACGTTTGAATTTTAAGCCACCTCAAATTCTTTTGGGGCAGATGAGGTGTCTAAGTTGAGTCAGAATGTTACATAAAACTTCAAGGTCTTTGTTTCTTTACCTGAAGGTTGAAAAGAATCATGTAGGGTCACTTAATGCCACCTGGGAAAACAGACACACAGCAAAGTCAAGTTCAGGTTGGGGGTGCAGGGTGCATCTTGGAAAGTATATCCCACTGGAGAACAGCCTAGGCTTAGATGTTTGGGGCTATGCAGAACCCACTTGATCACAAACAAATGTGAGCAGTGTAGCTGTCTTTCATCACCATTTTATTTAAGAATAAAATGCTGTTGTTTTCGAAACTTAAGGGGAAAGCAAACCCTTTAAATGAAGCAGCTATCAATAAAAGGAGTTCTTTTATTATACATGGTGTTTACTCTGCTACAAGTATCACAGATAGTAAATTTCTAGAGGTCTCTGCATAGAGTATCATTGTTCTTGAGATGATTCTAGATGACATTGTTTGTTGAGAGTATCTCAATGTGCAGTCTGTCACTCCTCCTAGAAATCTGGTTTCCCCAACCTTTGTGCATCGATGGTGGGGACCAAAGCATCCCTCATAGATGTCATCCTGAAGCAGCAACGTCACAAAGGGGTGCTGTCAGCTACAGCCTGTTTCTGCTGCGGATGAACAGAGGGAACCATTGAAAACAGTACATGACACAAACAAAGAGAGTCTTTGCCCGGAGGGTGGAGGCACCACAGTGGAGTGCTCTGAAAGGGTTGCATCCCAGTGAGAACCGACAGAAAACTCATCCTGTGTCCCGGAGAGAAGCAGGGGCCAAGCACATCTGCTCACTTAAGGAGAGAAGGGTAGAGGACCAGCTTGTTGAAGAAGTGTTGTGCTGTGGTCACAGAGAGTGCTCCTCCAAACACAGAGGGAGATGCTTTCTGAAACATTCATCCTTTCAAATCCTCTTTAGTTTATTCACAGTTCATCCGATCGTCCACTGTTACCCAGACTTGGTGCTCATCAGCTCCCATCTGACCCTAAGGGGAAGTAAAACTATGCTCTGCCATTTGGGAGTTCACAGTTCCGTGAGTGACTTAATGATCTGAAGACCCATAACCACAATAACAGGAAAACTATTAACTGAGGAGCAAGACACAGAATGTCTGGGTATTGAGGCAGGGGGATAGCTGCCAGCAGTGATTTGAGACAGCCCTTCTCAGTGCTGCAGAGGATTGCAGGTCTCCTGTTTTCCCTAACCAGTGACAGGGTTCTCCAGCATGTGTCTTTCCCGAAAGAAGATCTCACAGCCCTAAACCACACTGGGCGGTCAGCAGCTCTTTCAAGCCCCGCCCATCTATATGAAGTTCCAGTGAAAAGGTGGCACCAGACTCCACCTGAGTGAGAACTGGTCTTCCTGCCCTTATTTATGCCTCTAATTCCAAGAGTGGGTGATGATCCTGGAGTGGTTTCCTAAGGCCGTAAATGTAACAGCAGATAGGACAATTGGGATAGGAAGAACACCCCCTCCCCCACCCCCACACCAGCCATTTGCTGCCCTGCCTCTAAATGACCTGCAGGCGGTGAGTGGATCAGATCCACACATCCCAGAGGGCCCAGGTAGGAGCCGCCTCAGCAGTTTGTCAATGGAATAAACTGAGCGGGAGGCATCTGGGACTGGGAGGTGCAAGTGGTAACCTCATCCCAGAGGATCATGACTCAGAGGACAAAGCTCTCACCTGATTCCAGAGCTGACGTCATAAAGCAGCTAGGCATTCAGGGCCAAGTCCCTGAGCTGTGCTCTGTAAGGCAATTGGGTATCACAGCTGGCTGGGACTCAGGGTCCAACAGGAGGTCAGAGCTGAGGCTCTTGGAACAAATAGGAAAGAGGAAATGGCTTACAGAACACCACGGTTTAGATGGATCTGGATTTGGAGGTCCTCAGTTGCCGGTGAGGAAGGCAGAAGGGTTTTAAAAATTCCTGATGGCCACTTCGCACTGCAGACAGCTTAAATCAAAATGTGAAGGAAGTCAATGCGGCGATGATTCCTGTCCTTCCCCACCAAAAGGATCTAATGAGCGGAAAAGACAGAAACCCTGAACAACTGCAGCGCTCCAAGCCCCGACTAAGCAGTGGGCGGCACTCTGGAAATGACTAATGTTGTACCTGCTCACTCACTAAGCACAACACCTCAGACAGGAAGGACACTTTGCTGTTCGCAAACCATCTCACACAAGTCACTGGACTGGTCCTTACAGTGTCCTGGCAGAAAATACATGTCGTATGTACAAGGGGCAACTTGACTGGCCAGGGTCCGTCCATGATTTCACACAATTCCAAGTAACCGAAGAGACCCGAAAAAAGATTGCAGCTTCTCCTTTGTTACCCAAAAGCGGCAGAACCCCGAGTGGCCTGAGGTTTTGTAACTCTGACTTCTGCTCCCACTGCCCAGCTCCCTATTCTTTACAACAACAGAATATTCCTAGGGAAAGGAGATCTTGTGCATCCAGTGTGATCTGGCCAAGCCTGGATTATCTCCTGAGGCAGCCTGGCATTTGAAACCATGTCTTTTGCTTGTTTTCTGCAGAAAGGTATTGGCAAGCCACTCCTGACCTGGCCTGCCTGTTAGAACTACCTTGGGAGCTTTTAAAAATCTATGTTGAAGTTCCTGGACCAATTAAGTCAGAATCTCCAGGGATGGCCTGAGCTTTGGTATTTTTAAGCTTTCTCACAATTTTAATGAGCAGCCCATGTAAGGGAGTCTTGTGAGACTTTGGGACATGAACTGATAAAGTTAGGAGAGTACTTGACTCTGCCGTGTTCTTCAGACGCTGTTTTGAAAACCCCATGTGTGTATGCATGCTTCTACAGGTGGAGTCTTCATGTCCATGCCATTTGAATTGCTCATAAACCGACATGGTGTTCTCTCTCCACCATCCTGATCTGGTGCTTCATCTGTTTTATCTCCTACCATGCAGTTTATGTCTCTCAGGATGTTTCCACTTGCAATTAACATGTAACCCAGTTTGCAAATGCCACGGACATTTGTTATACTACATAATAAGAGTGTAGAGTAGGACAGCTTCCTGGGTGCTCAGTTCAGCAGCTCAATGACATCATCAAGGGCCCAGATTTCTCACTCCTTTCTACTTTGTGATCTTTCACGAGTCTGCCTTTTTCCCAGGCTTCCATCCTCATGATCAGGCATTATAGAAATATGTTGAAAAACAATATTTATTGTTGTTCAGGGTTGAGAGTGAGAACATTTTTTTTCCCCATCAAATACTTTGTTGATCAGAGCTAGATCACAATCTCTCCCCTCGAGTTCAACACACTGGGGTTTGTCTCACTGGCATAGACTTCTCCAAATTAAGGCAGGTACTGGGGTGCAATCATTTCCCCATGGAGTCTCTCTTTCAACAAACTTAGGGTTCTAAGATGGTCTGCATGATGAAATGGGAAGCTATTGGTTAGAAGCCAGCCATATTTGATAAGGTAGGAGCTTGAGTTGAATTCAGAAGTGAAATCACTGCACATTTCTTCAGTATTTTTGTCTTTGAATACGTCAAAGCCTCTCCAAATGTGTGTTCTCCAGGGTGAGATGGTGACCACTGTATCACTATGATGGGGCAGCTGTTACTACTAGATATCGGAGCCGCCCTGGAAACCACTGGTTCAGGACTGTAACATGCTGGTCATGCTGTACATGTCAACATATCCTCCTTTAGTCTTCTCTATCTTGCCTGGTGTGTAGGGTTCCTCTGGTAGTGCTTGTACTTAGCAAATGCAGTCTGACATTTGGTCTCTCCTTAGTTATTCCTATTTCCTATCCATTTGAAAGTTTCAAGATTATTCTTTGTAAAGCAAGTGACAGTCTTCTGTCTGAACAGCTGGGAGTTTTCTGTCGTATACCAAGTCTTAACATCTAGAATACCATGAGGGAATCTACAGACAGAGGTGGTTACCAAGTTCAGGTCCCTCCGTGTTCATGGCGGGAGAGGTCAATGTTAGAAGACAATTAAGACTCTTTTAGATTTATGCATTTTGTACTATGCTTGTGAGTGTTTTGCCTCCATGCAACTCTGTGCTCCATGTGGGTGCCTAGTGCTTGCAGAGTTCAGAAGAGTGCATCAGATGGCCTGGAACTGGAATTAGGGCTGGTTGTAAGCCATTGTATGGGTGTTGGGAACCAAACCCAGGTCCTCTGAAACAGTAGCAAACTCTCTTAACCACTGAACCCCCCACGTGCCCAGGCATTAGGAGGCAATTTAGCTCTCATGCTTTATACACGAAGCAGCTGAACATCTGAAGTATTAAAATCCTTGCCTCAGGTGCATGGCAAGTAGACTTGCAGCACAGCAAAGCTCATAGTTCTGTATTGCCCCCTCCCTCACCCTATCAGGCTCTAGAGTCACTTTGAGGATGGAAACCTCATTCCTGGATCCCTTTCAATCTATCACATCAGAATCTCCAAGAATCCCAGGAGTGTGTGCTCTAGACAGGTCCTTGGTTATTCCTAGGACTAGCCATGTGTGGAGTGCTGCTTTGTGAATTGCTTTTCAGCTAGGCTTTATCTTGTGGTCCTGACCAGTATAGTAGCTTTGTGTTTTGCTAGTTGTATTAAGAAAAAAACCAAACTTCTCCTGCCTTAGGATTTTCTGGCAGGACATTCAAGTAGGGAGGCATGGAATAAGGACAGGTGACCCAGGCTGCCCTCCCCCTCCCCCCCATTCCTGTGCCCAGCCTGCCCTGCATTCTCTCCCTGCCCTGAAGCACTTACTCTTGCTGGATGATCTGGAACTTTAGTTCTTGACCTTGGCATGCTCTGCCCAGGCCTGGCTCTCTGTGGATGTCCTGTCTAGATCTGTGTCCTTTTGTGGCTCTACCTTGCTGAGAGGTGTCAGAAGCTAGCCATTCCTGGCTCATTGCTTCCACAAGAAATTATCTTCTCTTTTTCCTTTCCTGGATGACTAAGATACTTGAATTCTTTCAACTTTTTCTTGTACTTTCACTTTCAGAAAAATAAATATGGACATTCTGAGAGAATGATGGAAAATTCAATATGATGCTTAAGATCTACTTTATATTTTTACTATGTGTATGGGGGCTTGAAGGGGTTATGTGTACATGAGTGCAGTGCCCTTTGAATCAAGAAGAGGATGAAGGATCACTTAGAGCTGAAGTTACAGGTGGTGGTTGTAAGCCCCCTGAATGGGCATCAGGAACCACACTTGAGTCCTCTACTAGAGCAGTATGCACTTTTAATTACTGAGTTATCACTCCAACCTCTGAAAGGATGTTTAGTGTCAATCAACTACATAAATCTGGAATGACCTGGAAGACAAACCTCTGTGTATGCCTGTAGGTGATTATACAGAGAGGAGAAGATTGCCTACTGTGGACTGTGGCATTCCTTGCTGGGTTCTTGGACTGTATGCAAGGAATAAGGGAGCTGAGTGTTAGCATTCAGTAGCAGCTTTCTGCTTCCTGATAATGGAGGTGATGTGATCAACTGCTTCAAGCTCCGACTGTCTTGACTTACCCACTCTAACAGACTGTACTCTTGACCTGTGAGCCAGAAAGAACCATTCTCCATTGAGTTACTTTTGACAGAATATTTCATGACAGTACCTGGAAAAGAAACTGAGACATGTAGCCGACTAACAGCATCTTCCCAGCACATTATTCTGCATGTTTATGGAGGCTGTTAAGTGACAATGGATATCACTTTTCATGAGAAGGGAAAATAGTTTCTATCCTGAGCCTTTAAGAAACAATGAGTTTGTTTAAAACACATTGATATAAGTGAAAGTAACTTCCAGACAAGATTCCATTGGCATTGTTTGTTTGAACATTATCATCTAGGTCTGCATAGGTCCTTGGGCAATTCATGATGTCACACATTGCAGAATTAGGAAAGAGGTGACAGTTCCGGAATGTGGGCAATGCTGTACAGTCCTTGTTCTTCTTTCCTATAAGGAGCAGGCTTACTCCACATGGAGATATCCGTGAAAGGACACCAAAGCCTTCTTCCATCACCCCCTTTTCCATCTTCTTCTATAGGCCTTAATGTTTGAAATGTCACTGTTCAAAATTGATGGCTTGGAGGAAATCCCAGAATGCTGTGCTTCATTAGGGAGACAGCAGCAGAATGCTCTCTAAGAGTATTTAGTCATTACTGGGACTTTACTAACTCATAGTGTGCTACCAGCTGAATGCTAGGAGAGCAGGAATAGATGCTTCAAAAACAGGTAGAATATTGTCTTAATATATCAAAACTGTAGACAAGCAGTATCCTATGATAGCCAGACCCTAATCCTGAACAAAATTTTCCATATACCTTAGTTTCTCTGAGGGAAATTGCCTTGGAATTAGAGCAATCATATCTAATATCTGAACACTTAGCGAAGGTCATATGAGCAATTTCGACTCCCATACATTTGCTTCTTAGAACATTCTTTGTATGTAGCTGACATTGCTCCATCTAATAACACTCTGCTCACCTTGCTTTCCATTAGCAGATTAATATAAAAGCAATCTTTAAAGGATATTGCAGATCTTCAATTACTACATCAATGCTGAAATTTATATTGATGCAGCTAGAATATATTAAATGTTAATGGAGATCCCAAGGAACGTTTTGGCAGGGTTTTGAGACATTAGCATAAATTAATTTCTTCTTAACAACTGGCTTCCTTTTGGAGCTGAGGAAATGGGTAAGGGACTCCCTCTAGAGTGGCTTTGCTGCTATTATGCAGCATCTGCCAAGGATAAGCTTTGGGATGGCAAAAAAGGAAAGAGAAAAAGCAAAGGAAACGGGTGCCCGAGTTTTAGCCTCCTTGCATTACCTAATTACCTACAGAGACATTTAATTACAAAGAAGAATTTTCCCCCACTTTCCTTCTTTGAACAGGGCCCTCAGGTTAGCCTGTACTGCCGATTCTAAAGGAAAAAGCAAGGTGGATGCTTAACTATCACCTTCAATAACTCATTTGCAGAGTAGAGAAACAAGAGCTACTTCTGAAGGTAACGATTTAGTTTTTGCTTAGTTGCAGTCTTCGTTACTGGCACCCTGACATTTTTGTTGACAGATCTTTCTGGAAATACTGTAAATAAGAAAGCATAGGACTGGAGCCAGACTTCTTGGTTTCAATCTGAGACATATATCCCTCCTTAGGCTTGTGATGCTGAACACAACATTTGACCCTCGTTATGGCTGATTTTCCTCATCTGTAAAGTCAAAATGGTCATCACAGTATTTCAGCTGGACTTACTGCCTATAATCCCCATTCAGAAAG